AAAATCGTAACAAATATGTCATGTATAAGAAATATTTAGGAGAAAGAAAAATACTTAAATAATGCAGTTTTTCTTTTAAAACCGGAAGTTTAAATTTTGTTTCCGATTGGACTGATATATTTTAAAAATACAAATAAGATAGTATAATGTCATGCCAAAAGGTTTAATAAAAGAAAATTTGAAAATTTTGATTTTTTGGAACACTTCCTGTGACGACCGAAAGTGACGGCGGACAATCTTATCCAAACTGAATTTGCCTACTCATCAAGATCTATCAATTGTATAAGTTTGGTGTCTTAATCTTTTTCCGTTTACAAGATCTAGCTATGATAAGTTCTCATTTTGAGGACAGGAAATCACGCAACCGGAAGTGAATTTTACAAAGATATTTGGCGTAACTGTAGACATTTGCAGTCTGAATAACATATCCAAAAATCATTACAAATACTTTATCTATAAAAAATATTTATGGGAACGAAAAATGCTGAAAATATGCAGTTTTTCTCTTATAACCGGAAGTTGTCGTTTTTGTTTCCGGTGGGACTGACATATTTCGAAAGTACATATAAGATACTATAATGTGATGCAAAAAAGTTTCATAAAAGAAAAAGTTGAATTTTTCGATTTCTTAGATCACTTCCTGTGACGACCGGAAGTGACGGAGGACGGATTTAAATGGATTGCATAAATCTACTTATCATGATCTATTATTCCTGAAAGTTTTATGTCTTAATCTGTTATCGTTTCTGAGATATCGTTCGGACATGATCACTTTTTGAAAAACGGAAATCGGACATATTTGACGACCGGAAGTGAATTTTGAAAAACTGTAAACTACATTTGAAAGATATTTTCACTCTCTATCATCCCTGAAAATTTCATAAAAATCTGTTCAGTCATCTCTGAGATATCGTCAAAAAAAGAAATTTCAATAGGGAAAATAAAATAATAATAATAATAATAATAATAATAATAATAAAAAGAAACAGTAGAATCACTATAAGGTCTTCCGTCTGAAACGGAAGACCTTAAAAAGAAACAGTAGAATCACTATAAGGTCTTCCGTCTGAAACGGAAGACCTTAATAATAATAAGAAACAGAGTAAAAACAATATGTTCCCCAACTTCGTTTGGGGAACATAATAAAGCAAAGAATAATTTCAAAGAGTTAACAAAAAAGATAGAACAAAGTGGTAGAGAGAAATTGCAGGGAAAAAATATGGGCTTGATGGGAGAATAAATTGATGTCATGAAGGAAAGCACAAAGAAATAACATTACAAAGCCATGAATAAATGAAATTGGTAATGCAAAACTTGTACAAAAACAGTATTTGATTTGGCAGGTCTGGAAAACTTTAACATAAATTTTAAATAAAATCTTCATTTGAAGCAAACTGAAAATGGTTTATTAAAAAACTGGATTAAGACAGACTTGTATCAACAGTCTCTATTTTACAAAACTTCAGGGGGAGGGGAAGGAGGGGGGTGATTACAATAACTTTCATCAGCCTACGTTCATTACTTTTATTCTCTTTTCAGAATGTGTGATCTGTATGGAGGCAGCTCCTGGTTGTGTCTTTGGTGATTGTGATCTGTATGGAGGCAGCTCCTGGTTGTGTCTTTGGTGATTGTGATCTGTATGGAGGCAGCTCCTGGTTGTGTCTTTGGTGATTGTGATCTGTATGGAGGCAGCTCCTGGTTGTGTCTTTGGTGATTGTGATCTGTATGGAGGCAGCTCCTGGTTGTGTCTTTGGTGATTGTGATCTGTATGGAGGCAGCTCCTGGTTGTGTCTTTGGTGATTGTGATCTGTATGGAGGCAGCTCCTGGTTGTGTCTTTGGTGATTGTGATCTGTATGGAGGCAGCTCCTGGTCGTGTCTTTGGTGATTGTGGTCATTTAGTTACATGTATGGAATGTGGGCAAAAAATTAATAACTGTCCAGTGTGCCGAGTTCAGATCAGACAAAGAATTAAAGTTTTCATGTGAAGTTTGTTAAAGTTCATTTGTACCATTAATAAATAAAACAAGAGGCCCAGGGGCCACAGCGCTCACCTGAGCACATCAGGCTTAAATTTACTCCACCCCCCCCCCCCCCCCAGGCGTTCATCATTTGAACAAACTAGAATCTACACTACCTGAGGATGATTCTATATAAATATCACAAGTCATAGCTTTGAAGTACTTGAAAAGAAGATTTTAAAAGGTTTCTCTATATATCCCTATATAAAACTTGGGTCGGCCATTTTGGCCCCACCCTAGCCTCAGGGGTCATGATTTGAACAAACTTGAATCTACACTACCTGAGGATGATTCCACATGAGTTTCATCTCTCCTGGCCCAGTGGTTCTTGAGAAGAAGATTTTTAAAGATTTTTCCTATATATTTCTATGTAAAACTTGGGACGGCCATTTTGGCCCCACCCTTGCCCTGGGGGTCATGATTTGAACAAACTTGAATCTACACTACCTGAGGATGATTCCATATGAGTTTCATCTTTCTTGTCCTAGTGGTTCTGGAGAAGAAGATTTTTCTTATATATTCCTATGTAAAACTAGGGTCGGCCATTTTGGCCCCACCCTTGCCACAGGGATCATGATTTGACCAAACTTGAATCTACACTACCTGAGGATGATTCCACATGAGTTTCATCTTTCCTGGTCCAGTGGTTCTGGAGAAGAAGATTTTTAAAGATTTTTCCTATATATTCCTATGTAAAACTTGGGTCGGCCATTTTGGCCCCACCTTTGCCCCGGGGGGTCATGATTTGAACAAACTGAAATCTGCTCTACCTGAGGATGATTCCACATGAGTTTCATCTTTCCTGGTCCAGTGGTTCTGGAGAAGAAGATTTTTATAGATTTTTCCTATATATTCCTATGTAAAACTTGGGTCGGCCATTTTGGCCCCACCTTTGCCCCGGGGGGTCATGATTTGAACAAACTGAAATCTGCTCTACCTGAGGATGATTCCACATGAGTTTCATCTTTCCTGGCCCAGTGGTTCTGGAGAAAAAGATTTTTAAAGATTTTTCCTATATATTCCTATGTAAAACTTGGGTCGGCCATTTTGGCCCCACCCTTGCCCTGGGGGTCATGATTTGAACAAACTTGAATCCACACTACCTGAGGATGCTTCCACATGTGTTTCATCTTTCCTGGCCCAGCGGTTCTGGAGAAGAAGATTTTTTAAAAATGCCATAAATTTTTCACAAATTCATAATTATCTCCCCTTGGAAGGGGGCGTGGCCCTTCATTTGAACAAACTTGATTCCCCTTCACCCAAGGATACTTTGTGCCAAGTTTGGTTGAAATTGGCCCAGTGGTTCTTGAGAAGAAGATGAAAATGTGAAAAGTTTACGCCGACGCCGACGCCGACGACGACGACGACAGACGACGGACAAATTTTGATCAGAAAAGCTCACTTGAGCCTTCGGCTCAGGTGAGCTAAAAATCAAATAAAACAGACATTATTGCTAGAAGCATTGAGATGGATGGATTGACTAGTAAATGAGGTTCTATTTTATAACTTACTTTCAAGAATCTAATAAATATCTGTATATATTTTATTTATTATTTTTATTTACTGAGTAGCTAGTACAGGTATGCAAATAACCATGTCAACTTGTACAATGTATATTATCATAAACTTAATAAACTATTTAAAATCTATTTAAATTCTAGTAATTGTATTTTAAATTCAAGAGGATCAGCAGCATACTTCTGTACATGAGCCTATCATTGGTTCAATCAACATTCAACAACAAAATGTTTCTTATGCAATACAGTGAAAACATTTTGAAATCTAATAATTCACTATAAAATTTAATAAGTTATCTTCTAAATTTCAATCGGAACTCGTTTGTAGTGGAGTCGCCTGCATGGCGCAGTATATGGTAAGAGCATCTGCTCTAGAGTGGTGGAGTAAGGAGTTGATCATTATGTTCGAATCCCACAGTGGGATGTGGCATGGAGGTCATTCTTTCAGATGAAACTGAAGTGCTGTGTTACAGTAGATGCTGGCATGAAAAAGATCCCTCACTGCTCAAAGGCCTTAAAGTGTCAAGTATAGGTCAAAATTTGCTGCTCTTCACTGGTAAGTGTTGGAGTCTCCATGTTAGTAAAAATTCTTGAGAGGGAGGTATAACAACAAACAAACACAACAAAGGAAAGCATTGGATTGCTTAAATTACATCTACAAATGTTAGTTTGTTTGTTAAGTATTAATTTGCAGCTGTTGCACAAAACACAGCATTCCGACCATAAAACATGTTGCTTGTATTAAGGTTAAAACTTTCATAATGTGAAATAATTTTTTTTTTTTTTTCAAAATTGATAAGGTATTCTGAATGAGATATGTATCTCTACCAATCTAAAATTGCAAATACAAAACAAATATATGTTATTTAGCTAGAGTCTTTTTGTATTTATTTTAAAACCAAATGCAGAACAAAACAATGACAGCCCCCCCCCCCCCCCCCCCGAAAATATAGCAAACAATAGCATGTGTCACTCTGATCTTCCCCCCTCTATTTCCCTGGCAACAGTGGCCATTTTGAATGTTGCTTGCACAAGTTCACATGGTAATAATTGCTACTGTTGAGTTTCATTGAGACTTCTTTAGACAAAACTTAAGGTGGAACAATAAATGTCCTCTCCAATACTTTGATCAAGTGACATATAAAAATTAAATGAAAACATTTTGCAATAACTTGAAAATAATTGAGGAATACATCCTCAATTCACCATTGACAGAACAGGATAAAACTGGTTATTCTAAAAATAAATCTTACCAAAGAAATTTATTTATAGTTATTACATCATTAAATTTTGGACCCTGTTTCTTACCACAGGAATTTATTTATAGTTATTACATCATCAAATTTTGGGACCCTGTTTGGTGAGGAAAACCAGACTGATCCAGATTTAACCAGTTTTGCCTCGGTCATTATAATAATCCTCACACAACTGGTTATAGGTTCACACTTGACAGGTAATTCTGTGTGACCTGAGTACTGATCAGTCCTCAACAAACAATTAATTAATTTACCCTTAGGATGTCTGTTTAATCACTTGTCACTTTTGTACACATGATAAAGACCTTTCACTTTACAGCTGCCTATATATAACAGAAAAAACTTGAAGTGAAATTACATTGACAACCAAAATGGCCAGAACAAAGCAGACAGCAAGAAAGTCGACAGGAGGAAAAGCTCCCAGGAAACAACTGGCCACCAAAGCAGCCAGGAAAAGTGCCCCATCAACAGGTAATTTATCTCTTTATTATATGTTTATTTATTTATGTCCTTCCTCTCCCTTTCTCTCTTTATTTATCTTATAGACTTTTATCAACAGAGAAAATACCTAATATCATTTCTAAATTTTAAAATCTTCCAATCTTTCTGAGCCTGAATTCCCATGTGTGAATAATGTTTACACTACAGGACTTGCTGGTAGATGTTATAGATTACAATACTCAAAGTCTGATTTTCAAGTAAATGTAATCTGCATATACATAAATTAACAACACCATTTCATGACCATGATGGTAAGTAAGAAATACAATATAAGAAAATAATTTAACTGATACATTTATATCTTATCAGGTGGAGTAAAGAAGCCCCATAGATACCGACCCGGGACAGTAGCTCTCCGTGAAATCAGGAGATATCAGAAGAGCACAGAACTACTCATCAGGAAGCTCCCATTCCAGCGTCTTGTTCGTGAAATTGCACAGGACTTTAAGACGGACCTGAGATTTCAGAGTGCTGCTATCGGGGCCCTGCAGGAGGCCAGTGAGGCTTACCTGGTGGGACTGTTTGAGGACACCAACTTGTGTGCTATTCATGCCAAAAGAGTCACAATCATGCCAAAGGATATCCAACTGGCAAGGCGAATTAGGGGCGAGAGAGCTTAGTTTGACTGATATTATGGATCAATTTTCTCTTGCTTTCTTACTTTTTACATACAGAATTTTATTGAATGTTTCATCTCTACTGTATAAAACATAAATAATAATACTGAAGTGTTGTTGGTTTTTTTTTGTATTTGATCTCAGTAAAACTTGTATTGGAGTTATAAAGCTTTATTCTTATGTCTTCTGGTTTGAGTTTTCCTACCTTGCTGCAGGCTTCAATGTGATGATAAATTATTGGGTACCCGGCGACAGGAAACAGGGGCTTAGGAAGCTCCAGGGACATTGGTCGAAAACGAGTACCTTTAAAAACAATTAAAGCACAGAATTATGAAAAACTCATAGTGTGAAAAGGAAGCCAAGCCAACGTTGAAGTGAAGCTGAAGGGGTATTGTGTATATGTGACTCTCCCCTGAGTCATCTCTGGATCAAAAAGCTTAATGTAAAAACAGGCAAATGTTATAAGATAAATATGGTAGTATATGCCACTACTATAGAGTATTGTGTATGTTCAACATAATGATAACTAGTCTATACCATTTTCAAGTTTTCTAATGCACAGTAATGGCAATGTAATATGAGACCCCAAGCACCTGTAATCTGGTTTTTCACTGCTTTTTCAACGTAATATTTGATTCACAATAACGAAAATGCACTTGACTCCACATTTGATATTTATTCATTACCTTTCATTGGCCCTCCGATCAGTATAATGGTCTTGATCATGGTTGCTAAAAAGAAGTTTTTGTTACACGTCAAAATTTCAACACGGAAAGTGGAATATCTCAATAATGTTAAAGTGTGTTCAGCCAAACCAATGAATTCCGAAATAATCAAGAAGACACTTCTGGTTTTTTCAACAGGTGGAAAAAATTAACCAGTGGCAAATCATTAATTAAAAGTAGGTAAAATTAACAGTCCTCATTACTTTAACGATATAAACTTCCTATTTATATGTAATTTGCATTATTCCAATGAACATTTTTCTGTAAAAGTGGTAATGCGTTTTGCGTTTAGTGTTCAGAAATTAATGCCTGAGGCAATTTTTCACATATCAAGGTGACACTAAATATTATGTGTGAATTGTAATTTTAAAAAATCTTAATGAAAGCAGAGGGAAGAAAGAGGTAGGAGTTTTTTGTTGTATTCCGCTTAAATATATTAAAATTCTGCATCCATGTGGTAGGCCTAACCAGCCTAGGCCTAATTAAGCATGGTATAAGTTGAATGATGAATCATTACAAAAACCAATGTGATTCGGGACCACAAAATTAATTATTTAACTTCTCTTTGACGAACAAATTCTTTGATTGTCGACTGTGTTTTCATAACTGAAAATAA